ACTCAAATGATGTGTTAGATTTCAGGTGGATGATATATATTTTCAGATCAGATTGAGTTGTCTAAAAAACCGACCCGACCCGACCCATTCAAAAAGTATGGGCTATCGAAAAAGTATTTGAGTTATTCCTCTAAAGTTTGCTTTTCGAACCGGTTAGATCATGCAAACTTCAAGCCTTCAAGCACTCCCCAAAGTTCAGTAATGATGATCGGACTCGAACCAAGATGTTGGGTAGATGTCAACTTAGTATTTAATATATTATTAATAATTTTTATTTTTAAATTCGAGTCGAATTAGAATAAATATACGATATTATTAGTAATAAGATTAGGTGTCGGGTGGGATGAATTTTTTCTAAAATTGAAGACCAATCAAATGATGCATGAAGACACTCTTGACTTTACAGTACTCGATCCGAATTAATCGATTAATAGAGCAGATGACAGTAGTTATAAAAACAAATGCATGAAGAGCAACACTTCTTGAGGAGGTTGGATAACCCAAGGGTTGACTAAACTGGTGCAGTAGTGCCTTCCCTCAAATTAGCAGACTAGTAGGATGCTCAATTCGTATAATCTTTTCTAGAGCAAATTACTTGTTACTACATAAACTATCATTTTTTATTTGTTATAGTACTTAAACTTTTAATATTTTTAAAATCATATTTCACATTTAGTTTTTGTTTCGTTTTAGTATTCCGCCGTTAAAAAAATTTGAAAGTTTAGGTACTAAAACGGAACAAAACTGATAGTTTAGATATTAAACACGTTAAGTTTTTAACGGTGAAATACTAAAATGAAATAAAAATTAAACGTTAGGCATAGTTTTAAAAAAAATTAGAAGTTTAATTATTAAAACGGATCAAAACTGATAATTTAAATATTAAATATGTAATTTGCCCTATTTTCTAACATTATTTTCTATTTTTTAAAATGGGACAAGGCAACGAAAGGCATAGGTGCAAAATCCTCGCAAGTTGACTATGCTAAATTATTTTTTTTTAAAACTATTAAGAATACTTTTTCTTTAACAAATCGTACGTGAAATGAAGGAAAAAAGAGAAATTCTGTAATTTTTTTATTAATTTGATAAATTATTTAAAGATAATTTTTAATTATTTGATATTAAATATTTATATTTCTGATAATTTTGTGTTCTCGAATTCGGGATCTTAAGAAATAACAATAATTTCTTTAACACTGAAGTCATTTGGTTCGTGCATTGAACCCATCACAACAACTCCTTGTGTACATAGGAAATTCCTGTCGGGAGACCTGCCGACCAAAATTAGGTGTGCAACGCGGGTCGATCCAAATTAATCAGTGCAAAGCATTAGAATTAAGAGGGTAACAAAAAAAGTGTCAAGTAAGAACTTTTTTTTTTGATTAATCTAGGGTAAGTACAAGACAATATCTGTTCAAAAATAACTTTCAACCTTTTAATATTGAACACTCACACCCCTGACATTTATGTGTCTAAACCCGAGCCACCAAAAAATAATAACAATTTATTTACTGCGAACGAAAGTCACTTGATTCGTGCAATTAAAAACTTTGAAACATATACTCTAAAGATTATTAACAATAATATATATATATATATATATATATATATATATATATAAACTTGCAGGAAGTTTAAATAAAATGAAAGCAACTGCTGATTAATTAAACACTCTTATGTTTCCACTAATTATTGGTTGCATTGTCAGCACACTTGGTATTTTTTTTAGATGTATGATTTCCCTTTCCAGCGAAGACCCTTTGGTTCCTAGCCTTCCAAATCACGACAACATAGTAGTTTCAAGCCAAATTCAACGCCCAAGCGCGGAGGGACTTGCCTTTTATCCTGCTACACGCCCACTGCAACTCACCATCCCAATGCATAACAGTTCTGCTAACCTGACAAAGGGTCAAAACACATTGCCAGATCATCCGTGAGACCTCATACTCAGAGAAAAAATGGTCCCCGGTCTTCATAACTCTCGAACACAAACCACAACTTCCTTCAATGACAAGGCCAAATGAGATAAGCCTACTTCTAGTAGGCAGCCTGTCCAACACCGTCATCCAAGCAATAAGGGAATTCTTGGGAATATGCCCCCAGTGCCAAATTAGAAGCTCCCAAGGAACCTTTTCCTTCTTACTCCGAATCTCTTTCCAAACCAATGAGACCGAAGATAGAGTCAAGAAGCCTTGAACAGAAGCCACCTTACCCCTAAGATGAAGCAAAGTCCTCCAAGTCCAGCTACACTGCTGAGGGCACGATAGATCCCAAAACGAGTTGGTTTTGATGATATAAGAGTACATCCAAGCCACCCAAATAGACCCCTCCTTCAACAACACCTTCCGAATAAGAAAAAGGGAACACACCCGATTGCAACACTTCAGGTCCTTGAGTCCGAGACCCCCTTCCGACTTAGGGTTGCAAATCGACTTCCAACCCATTCGCGCCCCTTTAGCTGCCTTATCCTCACCTTTCCAGAAGAATCTGGAGCATAACTGATTTATCCGATTAAGAACAGCATCCGGGAGAGCCAGCTGACAACTCCAAAAATTTTGGACGCTATAAATCACAGACTGGATAAGCTGCATTCTCCCAGCATAAGACAGCTTTAGCCTTCCAACCCTGCAACTTGGCAGTAATACTATAAATGAGAGGAACAAAGTCTTTCACTGAGAGTCGCCTAGTCACAAGAGGGACCCCAAAGTACCTCACCGGCAACTTACCACAAACTATGCCAGTAGCCTCTACCATTTCCTCCACAGTAACCGCACTCACCATACCGAAAAAATCTCCGACTTACTAGAATAAACAATAATATGTAAGAATATCCATGGCCAATATATTTGTATCTATAATAATAGGGTAAATTACATCGTTCCTCATTGAATTATATTCTCTCTCCTATTTTCCTCACCCAACTTTTAATTTTTTTTTTTATTTTACTCACTGAACTTTAGATATTAAATCATTTAGTTAACTCTGTCTTAACTATTTAACAATGTTATGACATGACACAATCATCAGAATGACGCCGTTCTGAAAAAAATCAAATATACACCAAAACGACATCGTTTCGAATCTTATATTAAAAGTTTGGTGAGTAAAATAAGAGAGATAGTAAAGTTCGGTGAGAAATAGTGTAATTTACCATTTTTCCTTTTCTTCTTCATTTTCTTTCCGTCAGCCACCACGTTATTTTTTATTTCAACCACCGTCCACTGTCGTTGATGGTAGCTGTTCAGTCCCAAATTTCATGGATTAGTTTATCTTAACCCCCTGAGTCCGAATCTAGTGGTTGTTTCACCGTAAAATGTCCCAAAATCCACGATTCTCAACTGAAACGTTTCAACTCTTCACTTTCGATCTCAAATTCGTGAATTTTGAATCAAGTTCCGAAAAATTAGAGGTCAGATTTGAAATCACGATGTCGAAGCAAAGCAACCCATGAAATTTGGGACCGAATGACCACCATATACGTTGGTTGACGGTGGCTGACGGTGGCATCCGACAACCATATATTTTTTGTTATTTTCTCAATTATTTTATATTAAAAAATAATTTAAAAAATGACACATCATCAATACGTTAGAGAGTTAACGGGGAGTGAGCACAATGATTCAATTTGTAAAGTTCAGTGATCAAAATAAAAAACTTGAAAGTTTAGTGAGGAAAACAAGAGAGAGAGTATAGTTCATTAGAGAACGGTGTAATTTACCCATAATAATAACTGCAATAACTAGAAAAGGATATAATAGAAATATTTATAAATCCATGCCAAATTTGGGCTTGAAAAATTTTCAACTCTTTGCTCAAATCGGACCATGTTTGGACTGACCCACAAACTTGAATAATTACTCGTAAAATAGTAAAATATTTTTGAATTTATTTTAATAATTAAATTATAAAAATATATAATTAATGGGCTAGACCAACCCAGCTCAAATTAAAGTTTACATTATGTGAGGTAGGCTCTACTGAAATAAATAAACAATCCTTCTTCTTACAGATCATTATTAATATTTAATTTTGAGCTAATTTTGATAAACAGACTAAAATTATAACTTAGACTTTAAATTGACCTCAAACTTTTAAAATTATAATTTGGATCTTATAAGTTAAGCATAACGATAATCCTATCAAAATTTTGGTGTAAGAATAGATCTAACAAAATAGTCATTAAATTTATCAAAATATTACAAAATGCTCACTATAAAGTGATAAGAATTGCAAAATTTTGAAAAATTTATCTAAACATAGTTTAGGGATATCTAGAGGAATAAATTCTTTTATTTTAGGCAAAAAAAAACCATCAAAGGTCTATGTACTTTACAAAAAATCAATGTGACCCTTGTATTATTTTTCTCTCTCTCAATGTGACCCTTCAACTCAGAAAATAAGTCCAATGTGACCCTTTGACCAACGTTTTTCATTGTTGGTCGTTACAGTACTGATGTGACAGTTTACAATGCTGATATGACAGTTTACAGTACTAACGTGGTGATCTACTATAATTGATAACATGACGGATGAGCTAAATTGGTATTTCAAACATGGTAGATAGACTGACATGTCAGCACCGTAGATTGTTACATTAATACCGTGAACTGTCACATCAACACTGTAACCGTCAATGACGAAAAACGTTGGTTAAACGGTCACATTGAGTTTATTTTCTAAGTTGGAGAGTCGTATTGAAAGAAAAAATAATACGAGTCACATTAATTATTTTTTAAAATATAGGGACATCTAATGCATTTTTGCCTTAATAACAAAAATACTTTATTTGTAAACAAATTAATTGTATCCGGTTGTTTTTGCCAAAGGTGCGTGCCCTCTCGGATTCCTAATTTCCTATATGTTTCCCTTCTCCAACTCATCAACGTTTTTGTGTATACATCTGTTCTGCTAACTGGCAAACAACATTTAGCGGAGAAACACCTACGTTTCGCGTAATTTCCTTAGATCCTTTCTTGCTGTTCTTTTCAAAGAATCGCCGTCAATTTCATGATTGATTGCTTTGCTTTATTACTCTAAGAGGTCTGGTGGATTAGGAGAGCTGAAACGATGGCCGCCGGCACAATGGCGACGGCGGCGGGGGTGGCAGTGATACTGTACTACGTCTGGTTGAGGAAATCGGAAGCTAAAGGCGGCGCGGTAGCGGGACAAGAAGATGACGATTTATCGAATTCGAGCAGATCGGTGAACAGGAGGATAGCTAGAAGACCGGCTCAAGCGCCCGCCACGTGGCTCGAAGCGATCACTACGATATCCGAGACTCTGCGGTTTACTTACTCGGAGACTCTCGGGAAATGGCCGATCGGCGATTTGGCTTTCGGCATTAATTATCTTATGCGGAGGCAGGTTCGTAAAATGCAAGCGCACGCTTTTGTTTCGAGTACTGCTTTGAGATTAGGATTAAAATTGTGTGTTGAAAAAACTTTTTTTAGGGAAATTTTCAAGTGGGGAGTGTTTATGGTGGAGATAATTGTCTGGAACTTAAGGGTGAAGAGATTATAAAGGAGTTGAATAATCTCCTAAGACTGCTAACTCTTTGTATGCTTTTCTCAAAGAAGCCATTTCCGGTGTTTTTAGAATCTGCTGGTCACTCACAGGAAGATGTACTTCTTCATAAGCCTAAAGCTGAGGTATGTTACCTTCTTCAAACCATTTATTTATTGTTTTGATTTTATAATGTGAAAAGGAAGCTTTTGTTTGATGAATTGAGCATCCTAGTAGTCTGTTAATTCTTGATCTACGAAGCACGGATCAACGAAATAAAGATTAAAGCTATTGCTTATTAATATTAATTGAAAAGTTTACTTTTATATTTCATCGTGTATGATTTTATATTAATTTTTTTTATTATCCTGTTCTGATGTACTCGATGTCTTAGTTTTGTTAAAAATTCTTATTCATCAGGTCCATATTGTGCTGTATTCATATTACATATTTGTTTTGTCACTTCCCAGTTCTTAATTGATTCTGTGAAGTCTTAGTCATTGAATAGTTTTTTTATGGTCTAAACACTGAGTGTTCTTGATTTCTGTCACCCGGATTTGGGTAAATATCATGTATGGATATGATCAATGTTCTAAAAGTTTTTCATATATTTGGATGACCACATCTCATACTTGATTCATGTCTTAGATATGAGTATTTTTTTTATAAATAGTCTGGGTTAACATAGCTTATGGTATCAAATAGGAATACTGAATGAAGATCTTACCTTAAGCACAAGGGAACATATAGCTAACAAGGCTTGGTTGTGGGGGAAAGAATTAGAATACACTGTAAAAGATTACCCATTTTCATCAAACTTAAAGGACCCTAAGAACCAAGGGAGCATCTCTTGTTGTTGTTGATGTAGGCTTGAATATCCACATGAAACTCTTATTCCTTGTCTAGGTGGAAATGCTTTAACTTTTACCAAAGTCAAAATAGTATTAGAGATTTTTGGCCTAGCTCTTTGGTGGTTAACAACTATGTTGCTTTGACCTTTTATTATATTGAAGTACCATATCCATCACCCGTATCTTATAATTATCCATATCATATGACCCTTCAAAAAAAATTAGCTGACTCTTATTCCCATATGTAATGAGGTAAGGAGGAGGTAGGATAGTAGGCTGCCCCCAATACCAGGTTGAGAGTAGCTTCCGTGGGAGACCTCCGAATTATGAATTGCCCACCATGGGACTCGATCCCACGACCACAAGGTTAAGAGCCTTGCGCTCAACCAACTGAGGCTGGACAAGCAATTAACATACCTGTGTTTGAAACATACTTGTATTCAGCACTCACATGAAACACCCCAAGTTTGAGTAACAATGTTTAGCATCCTCATTTGAATTTAACATACTTGGATTTTATCTTTCTTTGGATAGTTGTGCAGTAACTGTTCTTTTCATCAATTTCAATTAATTTTGAAATAATTGTTGCAGCTCATGAAACCAGCTTTCACAATCATACGTGATAAAAATTCGAAGTGTTTCCTTCTATTGATTCGTGGCACTCACAGCATTAAAGATACACTAACAGCAGCAACCGGTGCAGTAGTTCCTTTCCACCATTCGGTTTTAGATGATGGTGGGATTAGCAACCTCGTCTTAGGATATGCACACTGTGGAATGGTTGCTGCAGCTCGTTGGATTGCAAAGCTCACTGCTCCTTGCCTACTAAAGGCTCTTGGTGATTATCCTGACTACAAAGTTGAGGTAATTTCTAACTGTTTTGTTTTTAACTTTATTCAATAAATAAAAACCAGGAATGGTCTAACTTTTCTTCTTAACAAGATCATGTATATTTTGTTGATGCCTAATTGTTGATTTTTTATTTATTTTTTTATTTTTGGTTACTTGATGTCTGGTCTTATTGAATTTAGTTGTAGTTTCCTTATTTTTTGTTGAAATTATATACTTTTGTGATATGATGATTGAAAATATTTTGCAAGCCTATATTTACATCTGTTTATCTAATATTTTCTTTCATTGCTAGATTGTTGGGCATTCGCTTGGAGGTGGAACAGCAGCATTGTTAACATACATTCTTCGGGAACGTAAAGAGTTTGCCTCCAGCACTTGTTTCACATTTGCCCCTGGTAAACAATTTAACGTAATAAATGTTTCGTATTTAGTATAGATGTCCCGTTGATGTAAATCCTCATTCTCTATAACAAGCTATTTGTCAAAAATTGAACATGTCTGTATTAATATGCATGCTCGTCCAACACTTGTGCTCTATTCCAAGTAACATGTTCTTTTTGCTTTTAGTGAAAGGTTGTTACGGGCCAAATCTATGTTAGGAAAGGCCCTTAATTTGGGTTATTTAATTAAGGCTTCGGTTACTCTTTTATTTCTTTCCTTCATTAAATAACCCAAATTAAGGGCCTTTATAGATTTGGCCTGTAACAGAGGTTTTTTCTAATATACGGTTGATGAGGCTTTTTCTTCTTCTTTAAAAGAACTTGATTGCACTACTTTCTAAACACTTAAAGTCTTAATGTTGCAGCTGCCTGTATGACATGGGATTTAGCAGAATCAGGCAAGCACTTCATTACAACTATCATCAACGGCTCTGATTTAGTTCCTACATTCTCTGCTGCTTCAGTTGATGACCTTCGCGCTGAGGTACTTTTCACTTTCTCCTCACAGGAACAGAAATGCGAATAATGTTTATAATGGTTGTAATCCATGTTGTTTCAATTTTTTTTCTGAAGTACCTGTGACCGATACTCATGTTCAGCACATAGATACAAATATATGGCCTCCAAGAATTCTACAAATACACGAAAAACCTAAAAACTCTGAACATACCTGTGTCAGACACATATTTGTGTATGACATTCACCCATAAATCCGAATAAGCTTACCCAATTATTGTCCTTCCTCACCTTTAAAATTTGTTATCATCAGGTTACAGCGTCATCATGGTTAAATGATTTGAGGGATCAAGTTGAACGAACCAGGGTTCTTAATGTTGTTTATCGTTCCGCCTCTGCTTTGGGTTCACGTCTTCCCTCGATGGCTACTGCAAAGGCCAGGGTCGCTGGTGCTGGTGCTCTTCTTCGACCCGTTTCTAGCAGCACAAAGGTAAAGCCGATAACAATCTACAGCACATTTCACAAATGCACAGTTTTTTAGTATGGTCCAATTATGGTTCAAGTAATGACTAAATATATTTGGTTTGATTTTCGATTTATCAACTAAAAATCATAATTATCCAAATCAAACCGCATTTTACTTTTTTAATTTGATTTTTATAGTCTGAATATAAATCTTTATTTTTAAATTAGGTTTTAGATTATTAATGTTTTTCCTCCCGATAAATATGTGTACTAAAACTGAACCAAATTATGATCAACCCCTAAATTCAGTCAGCTTTGGGTGGATTCCTTTCTCTTTAAAACTATAGGTTGTCATGAAAGGTGCTCAAAATGTTGCTCAAGCTGTTGTAAGAAGCCGCTCATCTCTAACTTCATGGTCTTGCATCGGTCCCCGTCGTCGGAATGTGAGTTCGGGATTGAATGCGAAAGGGGATGACACAATTGAAGCTTCGATAACATCTGAAAGTTCTGAAGGTCTACTGACAGAAGTGGTCACAATAAATGAAACCAAAGTGGAATGTAGTTCCGGTGGTGGTTCAGGCCATGATGACACTGATGAAGATGAACCCCTGATTGCTATGGATAGAGTTATTACATCATCTACCACGGACGAAATTGCAGGCGGCGAGTTGTGGTATGAACTCGAGAAAGAGCTTAAGAGGCGGGAGAGTGAAGTTGATCTTCATGCCTGCGCAGAAGAAGCTGCCGTGGCGAAAGAAATTATGGAACAGGAGAATGAACTCTCAGCCGATGCATCACCAGGAAGTAGAAGTCCCATTTCTCCCCCAGATGCCTCTGAGAACCTCCGTTTCTACCCCCCAGGTAGAATTATGCATATCGTTGCCACACCTCCGTCAGATGCTGCCGACCTAGATGACGACCGAAACGGTGATGGGTCCGGCAACGATCCGGTTCGTATATACCAAACACCTAGGGAACTGTATAGTAAGATCCGGCTATCGAGAACCATGATTAATGATCATTATATGCCCATGTATAAGAAAATGATGGAATTGTTAATTGTTGAACTTGAAAAGGATAAGGATTGTGGCTTTGATGTTTTATAAGATTGAAGGAACTACAGTGCTGGTTTTCACATTTGTTGTCTGTTCAAGTATTTCGGTTCCCCGTGGAAGTGAGATTGAGTTTGAGAACAGAGAAATCCGAGACTTGTAAATGATAAAATTCGAAATGTAATTGTTGATTTAATCAATTGTATTGAACTTTCGGATTCCACAGAAAGAAAATGGTCAAATTCGGTTCAGATGTTTTGATTTTAGACAAGTGGATAGTCCAATTGAGGGGAAAACGCCTCAGACGTCTCTATACTTCTAAAAAGAAAACCAATGTAGGTATTGACCTTCCAACTCAGAAAATAAATCCAATGTTACTCTATAACCAATGTTTTTTCATTGTTGAACGTTACAGTATTGATGTGACAGTTTACCATATTAACATGATAGTCCAATGTGGTAAATTAATGTGGCGAATGGCATAATAATTGGACTAAATTAGTAACTCTAACATGGTAGATGGTCTGTCACGTTAGCATCGTAGATCGCTACATCAATATCGTAATCTGGCACTCCAATACTGTAACGTCAATGACGAAAAACGTTGATCAAAATATCACATTAGATTTATTTTCTGAGTTGGAGGGTCACATTAAAAGAAAAAAATAATACGGTAGTCACATTGATTTTTTTTCAAAAAGTAGATTACCTGTGATGCCCTTTTACCTTCAATATACTTTGTCAAATTCCCTTCGAAAGTGTTTTTAGTTGTACTGAACCTTTAAATTTGTTAAATTTGGTCAAATCCGCCTAATAAATTTGATCATGTTGCCTTTGAACTATTTATAACAATTTACAAATTTAGGGACCAATTTGACACAGAAACGTTCAAGGACTAGTTTGACCAAATTTAAAGATTAACTCAAACCCTAAAAAGTAAGGACTAATTTGACCAAACTTGTAAAATTCAAAGATTAATTTGATCCTCCAAAAAATTATAGAGCAATTTGACCAAATTTATCATGTCGACGGGCCATTTTATAGACCAATTTGACAAAACATGGAAATCGATTCTACACCAATACCGATCAGGAATTCAAATCGCGGTCGCGATCGTGTTTTCGTTCATGTCTCGTTTATCGCAATTGCGGCCATAGCGAACGCTATTGCGGTCATGCGGGTATATAGAAAAGCAACGCTACCGTTATTTCACGAACGCTATCACGGTCGCGGACCACTATTTAAAACCGAAACACTTACTCATCCATTGAAGTGCACCAGTCCCGACCTTAATGGTCGATGCTCGCGGGTCCCTGAAGTTGTTTTGATCTTTAAAATTTTAAGAATAAATTACATGTTTAATACTTAAATTATCAATTTTGATCTATTTTAAAACTTAAACTTTTAATTATTTTAAAACCATACCAAACATTTAATTTTTATTTTATTTTAGTACCTCATTTTTTTACGGGTAAATTACATAATTCATTATTCAGCTATCTTCTCACTTATATTTTGTACTAAAGTTTGAAAACTTTAATTTAACTACTCAACGTTCAAATTACTCATATTTTAATCACTCTAATTTATTTTATTAATATTTTTTGTGACATGACATTTTTTATTAATATATAATTAAAAATAAAAAAAATAAATTTAAAATTTAGAGTGATTAAATTAAGAGTAATTTGAAAGTTAAGTAAGTAAATTTAAAACATTTAGACTCTAATAACCAAAATAGGAGTGAGAAGATAATCTAGTAACCATTAAGTTTTTAACGACAATGTATTAAAAAGAAACAGAAACTAAATGTCAAGTATGGTTTTGAAAAATTGAAAGTTTAGATACTAAAACAGATTAAAATTGATAGTTTAGGATCTAAATGTACAATTTACCCTTAAAATTTTAAAAACCGACCCGATCAAATAATTAACACATTCTAACATCGAAGAGCTCGGCCTACTCATCACGGGTAGTTCTGCGGTGCGGCGTCTAAAAAACGGCTAATATACGGCGTGACTGGTTAAACAAGTGACCGGTTAAAATTTAGACCGGTTATGTTATATTATTTAACCGAAAATATTATAAAGTACAATAACATACTAGGTAGCGCTTATATAATGTAATAAGTAGCGCTTATATTGACCTATTTTATAAGTAAACCGGTATATTTATACCGATAGCATTGCAAATTTACCTATTACATTATAATATGTTGAAAGTGTCTATACTTTTTTATAAAAAAGATCGATACTTTTTTTAAAGCTATGTAATTTATGTTTCAAATTTTTAATAGTGTTTCATGTTTTCCACCTACAATATTAATTTAATAATTTCATTTGCACAAAAAATTATTTGATTGTTTTGATATTTTATAAAATAATATTTAAAATTTAAATTTAACAATATTAACCAAAGATAATAATAAATATGTAATATATATGTTTATTGTTTTTAATTTAATGATAATATATACCGTAACATAAAAAATAAATCATTAGATACATATAATTACTAAATTGATATCTTAAAACTCACTCAAAAGATAACCTTAAATTAATGTTTTCCACAGTGAAATAAGTATTGACACTTTTATAAAAATGATAGATACTTTACAATATAAACATTACCTATTACATTATATAAACGCTACCTATTACATTATATAAGTGCTACCTATTACATCATATTTTTACCTATTATATTGAAAGTGTCCATACTTTTTATAAAAATGATCGATACTTTTTTAAAGTTATGTAATTTATGTTTTAATTTTTTTAATAGTGTTTCATGTTTTCCACTTACAATATTAATTTAATAATTTCATTTACACAAAAAATTATTTGATTGTTTTGATATTTTATAAAATAATATTTAGAATTTAAATTTAACAATATTAACTAAAGATAATAATAAATATGTAATATATATGTTTATTGTTTTTAATTTAATGATAATATATACCGTAACATAAAAAATAAATCATTAGATACATATAATTACTAAATTGATATCTTAAAACTCACTCAAAAGATGTACATACCTAAATATGTAGTTATTGTACATACCTAAATTTAATGATAATATATACTTGTAGTTATTGTACATACCTAAATATGTACTGCGAATTTAATGTTGTACCCACCCTTTAACTACCACTACCAATACCTAAATTTAATGATAATATATTGTTGCAACACGATCTACCATATCCAACACCAACAGATACCAATGTGAATTATGATAGTTTATTGTGATCATGATCTGCAACAAATTTCATACTCAATTTGACAAAATTCAACATTCTATATCCGAAAACATCATTTGCAATTGGTATGGTGTCTTACCTTCTCACAGTCGGTGAATTTTACATAGTTATTTAGTATGAGACTCCAGAAGGTAGCAATACTCTCAACACTTTCTTTGCTGTTGGCATCAAACGCCTGCTGCTGCAATTACGCAACAAACATTATTAATTTACCGTCTATAACACTACTTATCTCCATTTATTAATTTAACCCACCGCTAAGTGGTATGGAAGGTAGCCAATCCTCCGGAGTGACTTCTGAGAATCGTAGCATACTGTCCAGGCCAAATCAATAACCTAACAAAATTAATTACACAATCAGAACATATTTAATAAGTTTTAACATTTTCTACTTTCTACTTACCACACCGCCAACCCATTCCGTAGGCTTCAACGTTGCAACGTCGTATACACTAGCGAATTGATTTCCCATTGAGATTACAGAATATCTGTATGAATCATTAGGATTAATATGTTGTCATGAAATATTTAAATATAACTCACAAAGCAATATATTTCACTTACTCCGATTCTAACTCACTATTCTATAAATAATCACAAATTGCAGCTTCGATGTCATCAATTCCGCTTGGAATATCCGCTTTTTCAACCTACAATTTTACATACAAATTTTTGTCACAACAATATAATAAAAATCAAATTAAGTTTTCTTTTATTCAACTTACCTTCTACTTCTTCTTCTGGGGTGCATGACATTCCGAATCCAAATCTGCTGCTATAACACTCTCCGATGTATAAATGACATCGACTTCCTTCATCCTCATTTCTTCCATCTCTTCTTCTTCCTCCTCCCTCTTTTCTTCTTCATATTTTTTCAGTTCATCGTATTTTTTTTTCTACATAGCTCTTCATCTCTTTTATTTCACCATTCAATTGATCCCCTTCATCCAAGTATTTATCAACCACCCCCTTCACCCCGGTAAGTTCACTCCTCAATTCCACAACCTCCTTCACCACTCCCTCAAATTTTTCACCCGTCACCATCTTAATATCACCTCTTAACACCCCAACTTCTTTCACCACTTCACCCCTCAACACCTCTACTTCTTTCACCACTCCATCTATTTTTCCTTCCACTACCCCCTTATGCCTCTCAAATGTATCTTCGACTCTCTCAAGTTTCTCTTCGACTCTATCAAGTTTCTCTTCGACTCTTGATTGTCTTTGCATGATATCAAATTGGATTTTTTTGATATCAGCCAATTCAGACATCAAAATGTCGAAGTTACTATATTTTCCCTCACCTTCGTCCCACTCACCGTCATCCCCCAATACAACCATCTCTCCTTTCTTCTCCTCTACCTCCTCTACATCCTTGCCAATAACCTTCAAAATTAAATTACAATATTAAGACATTGATTATATTCTTAATATTATTTAATTACATTTATTACCCTTTCTTGCTTCTTCGCTCTATTCAACTTTAACTTCACCATCACTCTAACCACCTCTTCCTTCCCCCATGCACGGATGCGTGCTACTCCGGTTCTTTCATAAGCCGGCACTGCCTCACAGCCCGACCAAAAATCGTACAATGCAACCTGCATTTATAATAAAATTTATATTTTTATATAAAAACACAAAAAAGTTCTTCAACTCATTTACCTCTAAGATTGCTATGCACCTTTTGAGGTATCTCTGGCTGCCCTTTTTAAAGGTGATTATTGATTCAATTAATCTCGAATGGATATTTTCAGCCCAATTGAATTCACCCTTTAAGCCTTCATCGCAAATGAGCTTCATATGTTCCTTGTT